CCTCTTGGTCCCTTCCATCTTTAAGTCTGGTCACATAATATCTTTTCTGCCCAACCCTACTTTTGTCTATATGTCCCTGTCCCTAATTTTACTACCCCCCATTCTTTTTTTTTTCCTTTTTTCTGTCAGTTTTGGGCTTGAACTTTGGTGCTGTCCCTGAGCTCTTTAGCTCAAGGCGAACGCTCTACCACTTGAGCCACAGTGCCACTTCTGGCTTGTTGGTGGTTAATTGGAGCTAAGAGTCTCGCAGACTTCCTGCCCAAGCTGGCTTTGAACCACGATCCTCAGATCTCAAACTTCTGAGTAGCTAGGATTACAGGTCTGAGCCATGGTGCCCTGCTATCCCCATTCTTATAAGGATTATATTGTGATTTTGTTTTTGGACAGTACTGAGGTTTGAACTCAGATCCTTGTTCTTAGTAGGTAAGTTCTGTACAACCTGAGTCATACCTACCTTGTGATTTTATATGTATATATATAGTATAGATAACATATATATTATGTGTATAAAATGTATTTTTTGGTGGTGGGAGTGGGTGAGTCATGGAGCTTCAGCTCAGGGCCTGGGCACTATCTGTAAGCTCTTTTTTTCAAGGCTAACACTACCACTTTGAGCCATAGCTTCACTACTGTTTTTTAATAAGTTTTTTATTATGAAAATACGATACAGAGGGGTTACAGTTACTTGAACAAGGTAATGAGTACATTTCTTATCAAGCATTGTTGCTTCCTCCTTTGTTTGTCCCCTACCATTCCTTCCCTCCCATCTCTACAACTACACTTCCTCTCCCTCCCTCTCCCCACTACTGGTTTTTGAATGGTTAATTGGAGACAAGAGTCTCACAGGGACTTTTCCACCTGAGCTGGCTTTGAACCATGATTCTCAGATCTCAGCTTCTTGAGTAGCTAGGATTACAGCCACAGGCTCCCAGCTGATTTTGTATTTTTGTTATTCCGTTGGCTCCAGTTGGGTAGTCTAGAATGGTCTCCCTATCTCAAGATCCTAATTTAATCCTACCTTCAGAGTCCCTATTGCCAATCATCAGTAGTTCTGGGGATTCATCTTTGGGGGCAAGGGCTAGTAGCCAGCCAGTCACAGGAAAGGATGGAAGGTGGTAGAGAGGGAGCCCCTGTGCTTTGTCTAGCCTCCTTCACCCTGCAGTGAGATGGCTCATGCCAAGAGGGAAGAGGCAGGTTCAGGCCCATCTGGAAAATGGCAAGTGCTTCCTGTATCATCAAAATTGGGTTGGAACTTGGCATGGGGATCCACACCTGTAATCTCAATTTGGGAGGCTGAAATGAGAATGTGCATTTGAGGGCAGCCTGGACTATATAGCAATCCTTGGCATACTCTTGGGAGCAATCCTGAGTTTAGGAGCCTTTTAAGCCTGTGGCCTTCATAGTGACCCATGTGAGATTCCCACAGACCCTATCCTCAATACTGTCTCCTCTCCAGTTCTGTCCTCTGCACTCTGTTCTCCAGGCAGATGATAATGCCATTCCTGACAAACTAGTCAGTTCTCTTCTGCAAAGTGTATACTAGTTGTCTTGCTCAAGGCTAGCACTATACAACCTGAGCCACAGCTCCAATTCTGGCTCCTTTTCTTTTTTATGGTTAATTGGAGATCAGGGTCTCATGAAGTTTCCTGCCCTGGATGGCTTCAAACTACAATCCTCAGATCTCAGTGACCTGAGTAGGTAGAATTACAGGTGTGAGCCATTGGCTGTCTCCTTTTAAAAATATATAATTTTATTATTTCATTATTAAGGTATTATACAGAGGAGTTACATTTCATAAGTCAGGTAATGAGTACATGTCTTTCTTTCTTTTTTGGTTGGTTGTGGGGTTTGAACTCTGGGCCTGAGCACTGTCCGTGTGCTCTTCAGCCCAAGGTGAGTGCTCTACTGCTTGAGCCACAGCACCACTTCCAGTTTTCGAGTGGTTTTTTGGAGATAAGAGTCTCACGGACTTTCCTGCCCGGGCTGGCTTTGAACTGCGATCCTCAAATCTCAGCCTCCTGAGTAGCTAGGATTACAGGTGTGAGCCACCGGCGCCCGGCTCAAGGTGTGCAACCTACCACTTGAGCCACAGCACTGCATCCGGTTTTCTGGTGGTTTATTAAAGATGAGAGTTTCACGGACTTTCCTGTCCGGGCTGGCTTTGAACTGAGATCCTCAGATCTCAGCCTCCTGAGTAGCTAGGACTATGTGCGTTAACCATCAATGCCTGGCTCATTTCTCCTTCTCCTCCTCTTCCTCCTTTTTTTGCCCATCCTGCAGCTTGAACTCTGTCTCTAAGCTCCTTTTGCTCAAGGCAAGCATTCTTGAGGCACAGCACCACTTCCAGCGTTTTCTGTGATTAATATGATAAAAGTCACACAGACTTTCCTGCTAGGGATGGCTTCAAACTGTGTCCTCAGATCTCAGTCCCCTGAGTAGCTAGGATTACAGGAGTGTGCCACTGGCACCCAATTGAGTCTTTCTTTTTTCTCTCTCTCTCTTTTTTTTCTTTTGTCGGTCATGGGGCTTGAACTCTGGACCTGGGCGCTGTCCCTCAGCTCTTCAGCTCAAGGCGAGCGCTCTACCACTTGAGCTACAGCGCCACTTCCCCAACTGAGTCTTTCTTTTTTTGGACAATGCCATCCTCTTTCACTTTCCCTTAGTTTCCCCCTTCCATCCCTGTCCACAAATTACATAGGTATACAGGATAGCATTATTGCATTTGTTCATCACTCCTCCTTCTCTTTCTATGCCCAGCTATTTCCTTTTAAAAGTATATTGTATTTCTTTATAGTGAAAACATACTCCTGAGAGCATGGCAAATTCTCATCAGTTGATACAAGACCTGTTTTGTTTTCTTTTTTCTTTTGATTCCCCCCAATCTCCCTCAGTCCTCTCCCTGTCATAGGCATACATGCAGATTTGTCATTGTATGTTTGGATATATGTATATGTATTTACAAATGTATATACATTTGTATTTATATAATTATGTACTTACATGTTTTCATGTGTATAAATGGTATTACTTGATAGTAAGCGACCTTCTATAATGAAACACTCCCATACTTAAGTGATTTAACACAATAAAGACTTTTCACTTATTGCATACAGCACAGGTATTCCTGGAGGGACAGCTCTCCTCCCCTGTTCATGGCAGATCCCAACTCCTGGACCCAGATGACAATGCCTGATATCTGCATTCTAAAATTCCCTGTCCGCTTTTTACTGTGTTGTTTTACCCTCCACTGATGATTGTGTTATGAATTGGTTATTTCACTAGGGATTATAAAACTATGATTTCCTATTATTGTAATTTCATCTTCATTTATTGACTATTTCTGTGCAGAAAAACTTTTTGCATTCTGTAGAACTATTTGGTAAACCTAAAATAAAATTCATTCCAGAATGACAGGAAAAATGCTTAAATCTTGTCCCTTCTCTCTTTCTCTCTCTTGTGTGTGTGTGTGTGTCTGTCTGTCTTTCTGTTGTGGGCCTGAACTCTGGGTCTGGGTGCTGTCCTCGGCTCTTCAGCTCAAGGCTAGCATTCTACCACTTGAGCTACAGTGCCACTTTCCCACTTTTTTATGTGGTGCTGAGGAATCGAACCCAGGGCCTCATGCATGCAAGGCAAGCACTCTACCACTGAGCCACCTTCCCAGACCCCTTCTTGTTTTTGAAGTAGTAAGTTAAGGTCCTAGAAGCTCCTGATGGTGTTTTCTAATTTTGCTTTATTTCATGTTTTCTACTTTTGGTCAATACTGAGGTTCAAACTTATCTACAAAGTTTAAGGCAGACTTTTTTTTTTTCTTATTGTCAGTCCTGGGGCTTGAACTTGTCCCTGAGCTCTTTTGTTCAAAGCTAGCACATGGGACACAGTGCCAATTCTGGCTTTTTCTGTGTAAGTGGTACTGAGGAATTGAACCCAGGGCTTCATGCATGCACTCTACCACTAAGCCACATTCCCAGCCTTCTTTAGTTTTTTTCTTATAGGGTTTCGTATTTTTGCCTGGAGATAGCTTCAGATCCTATTCTTCCCAAGTAGCTGGAATAACTGGTGCATACAACCACATCCAGATATATTGTTGATGTGGGATCTTCTAAGCTTTTTGCCTGGCTGGCTTCAAATTGCAATCCTGCCTTGAGTAGCTTTTCTGAGTTTTTTCTTTTTTTGTGGTGTACAAGGCTAGCCAAGGCTAGCTTTTAGGTTGTTAAATGGATAAAAGAGTTTCAGGGATTTGCCTGCCCAGGCTGGCTTCGAACTGCAATCCTCAGATCTAAGGTTTCCTGGGTTTAGGATTACAGGCATGAGCCACCTGCTCTGGACCTGAGGAGGATTTTTGGCTTACAGACATCCGATCTTGAAATACAAACTTAGAGCCCGGTGCCAGTGGCTCACACCTGTAATCCTACTCAGGGGGCTGAGATCTGAGGAACGTGGTTCAAAGCCAGCCCAGGCAAGAAGTCTGTGAGACTCTTATCTCCAATGAACCACCAGAAAACCGGAAGTGGCACTGTGGGTGCAATGGTAGAGTGCTTGTCTTGAGCTGAAGAGCTGAGGGACTGCTCTCAGGCCCAGAGTTCAAGCCCCACCCCTGACAAAAACAAAAAAACCAGTAAATTCCTGAAGGTGCAGAGAAACTGGATAACAGAGAAACATGCTACCTGCCCTAAAGAAGAGGGCACAGACCTGGTGGCAACAGCCCAGGCCCAGTTACTCTAACCAGCCAGGAGAATCGCCTGGGTTGGGGATGGGAGGTCAGAACACTAATCCAGCCAATCGCTGGGCCCCGCCGCTCAGGCTCTCCTCACTCACCAGCCTTGGGGGTGAGCGCCGAGCTCATCGAACGCAGCCAATGGGTGACGTGGCGGTAGCATGGCGGGAGTTTTGATTGGCCCGGCCTGGAGGCTGTTAACGCGCGCTTTGGGAAGAGGAAGGTTAGGGACTTGCATGGCTCCTCAACCACACCAGCCATTTCTTCCGTCTTCCCGGAGATTCTTCTTCCAACTGGGGTCTTGTACTGGTTCTTCCTGGGTCCCCGCGTCACCTCCTTCGGTCCAGGCCTGCCATCCGCACCCTGGCCCAAGGTAAGCCATGCCCTCTGGGTTGCACCGCCTCGCCCTCCGGCTTCGACCCCAGCCTTTCCCCGGGCCTCGCGTTCGTTCATCCCTGCGGCGTCCGTGGGGGTCGGGACTGCTGCCCGCCTCGGCCGTGTTCGCCCCTTTGCTCAGACCCTTCCTCTTCGTTTCCCTGTCTTCTCGGTCAGCTAAAGGGCAACCGAGATTCCCACAGTTTGAACCCAAGCCCCAACCCCTGGCTGACTCCCCTCCTCCCATGCCGCCTCTTGAATTAGGCCATCGGTTCCTGCTCTGTCAGGCCCTGGTCGCGCCTTCCAGCTGCTGTGTGCGCTTTTAACCCTTGGCTGATGGGTACGTGACATCTGACGTTCCAGGGCCCAGGATGGTAAGAGTGGGCGAGACTGGGAGTTGCCCTGGGTCTGGAGATGGTGGGCCCAGGCTGCAAGAATTTAGTCCCCATTTTTTAATTTGCAGAGGAGGAGCTTAGCTCCCAGCCAGCTGGCCAGGAGGAAACCGGAAGGCAAGTCCTCTGATGATGAAGACTGGCATCCTGGAGCAGCAGCGGTGAGGAGCCAAGGCCTGGAAGGGCAGATATACGGTTGTTTGGTCACAACTCTTTCTTTTTTCTTTTCTCGGTCGTGGGCTTGAACTCCGGGCTT